ACAATTTCATCATTATCAACAATGGTATGAACCAATACGTTTATATAATTTTTATGTACGTTTATTACTTTCATCAGATAATTTAATAGAAAAATTAGCTTATCAATGTTTATTAACATGTTATCAAATGTCTGAATCAATGATAAAATCAGATTTTTTATCACATTCCGATAATATTCTTCCATTATTTAATCCAAGTACATGTCGTAAAACATTTCATGATTTAATTCAAGGTATTTTAATTGATGTTAATTTATCTGATTCATTAAAAAATCAATATGCTTTTATATTAATACGTATTATTTATAGTAAATTAAGTGATAAACGTTCATTAGGTTCAACAACACGTGGTAGAAAAGATTATTTAGAATTAAATCGTAAATATTTATTTCAATTTTTAATAACATTTGCATCAAATAATTTATATGAAAAACATTTTCATTATTTTATACAATTATTATTAGAACCATTTTATGATGAATTATTTCATACAAATGATAAACAATGGTTAAATTTATTTCATAAGAAAATTCCATTAAATAATGATGAATTTAATTTAAATTCTTATGAAATATTTATTAAATATATTCAACATTCATTATTATTATTAAAAACATTTATTTATAAATTAGGTGTTTATATACATAAACAAATTGATTATATTATCAAATTTTATATATTAACAATAAAATTTGTTGATTATTTAAATAATTTAAAAAGTTCTCATGAAGATAATTTTGAAATAAAAAGAATTCGAATTTTATTAAAACGTATTCGTTCAATGTCTTATAAAGGTTTACAAACAATATTTCAATTATTTGATAATGATGAAAATGAAATATTTAAAAAAGAATTAATTGATGATGTATGGTTATGTTGTATAAGAGAAAATTATTTACATGATATATTAATTAAAAATAAACAACGTGAAGATATTGTTCATATATTAAAATTAGCTACTATTTGGAGTAGTACATCATATTTAAGATATTCAATACTTAATGATAGAAATGATGCTAAAGATTTAATGAAATGTTTTAGTCAACTTTTAAATGAAAATGTTACCAATGAAAATAGACAATTGATTATTGAATTTATTTGGAATATTATGCAAATTGATTGTATGTGATTTTTCTTTTGTTTTGAAAAGTTTCTATTTCTTGATAGATCGATTGGATTTTCTAATTGATTTGCTAACGAATGTCATACGTTTAGGTTTGGTTCTGTTTTTCCGAAAGATTAAGACTAATCAATTGATTTTCTCGAGTTAGCAACACTTTTTATTCAAGATTATTTCATGAAAAAAAAAATACAAACGTAATATTGTATTTAAGTAAGTTATTTTGATTCTAGAAATGAGAGCATAATTTAATAGGTGATAAGATATATTGTTTTCAAGTTATTTCATCATAGCTTTATTGAATGCACAATCTTTCTTTTATTCATCAATCATTAAGTATAATGTTGGATTGAAGGTGGCAATGCTTGCATTAAGTCGGTAATGCTAACTCTCCAATCCAGGTGTGTCTGAGATTATCGATATATTGCAGTAGAATGGCATTCAGACGACAGCCAAGTATTTAAAGCCAATCGATGTCGGTTTNNNGGGTACCCATCACAGACCGTGACAGAGAATCCGGGTACCCATCACAGACCGTGACAGAGAATCCAGGTACCCGTCACAGACCGTGACAGAGAATTCAGGTACCCATCACAGACTGTGACAGAGAATTTGGGTACCCATCACAGACCATGACAGAGAACCCTGGGTACCCATCACAGACTGTGACAGAGAAACTGTAGTTCTAAAGCATCAGATAAACGGTTAGCTTTAAATGTATTGCAAAGAAATGGAACAAAACGATTTCCATTTAATTAGTAACAACAGATCCATCGTGTTTCACATTTTTAATCCCGCAAGGGATTGCGCTAACAGCTTTTATTCACACTTGCATTTTACAAGTTTCAACTAGTTAGTAGGTATCAACACATGCACGTTCCACAGAAGCCATGCAATGGAGAGCAAGCACTTCGATTATTTCTTTTCTCTTTCTTTATAATGCTTCTTTTTTTCAAAGGTTTTTTCCAACTTGATGATGACATCAGTTATTCATATATACGTGTAATTGACTTTTTTTCGTTACATTCAATACTGTTTTTATCGCGTTAGACGTAATAACATTCAATACAAAGTGTTATGCTGATTATAATTTGATTCATACTAAATATCTAGTTATTGCTAAAATATATTCAATCCATTTTGTGATGCATACTTCGAAAATCGAGAGCAAAGGACAGGAGCGCATAAGAAAATATTTCGGTCCATTTTAATTGCAAGACTCAATCTAATTGAGTAATATTTATAATGAAAGATCATCAGTTTATGATCAATTTAATGGTAAAAAGGTAAAGAATATTTCAAAGTTATTGTGATAGCTTTTTGTTCAGGCTATATTTTTATGATACGTAGAATGATTCATTTTAAAAGAATATTTTAAATCTACTAGACTGTATTCAAATCTTTGATTGCCTAAATGTTGAATCTGAATTACGTGTTTGCGTTCCATGCATCATTTAATTATTATGCTAATGAAACTTTCTCCACATTTAGTTCGCTTCTTACGGTCTAAAACGATGAGACACATAATAAAATCCTTAGTTCAATATTTATGAAGTTCGATTTTCAACTTTTTCGATCGATATCTGACGAATTTCAATTTGAAAGCCGCAGAAAAATTGAGTCATCTTATGTATGTTTCAAACTTTATGTACAACTTTTTTTCTGATAAAATCTTCAACTGTGGACCCTCTCACAGATTTATAGAAAAATAAATTTAATCAAAACAACTATTTTATTGCTTAGTCACCTATTGTTTTGTCTTCAAATAACACTTTGCAGGTATAGAACTTACTGTCCACTGCAGTAATGACCTTTTAACCCAAAGTAATTTTTTTCCACATCTCTGAGGGGATTCAGGGATGAAAATTAGGTCAGAAAAAATTTGCACAAAAGATTTGAAACATATATAACTCAACTCAATTTTTCTGTTGCTTCTAGATATGATATTTTTCTGAAACGAAATAGGTAATATTCTGCTTGAAAACTGTTAAATAGTAGTTAAAATTGGATCTCATCAATATTGGACTGAGGATTTTGTTATGTGGCTCACTTTTTTAGACCGTAAAAAGTGGACTAAGTGTAGAGAAAGTATCATTAACGCAATAATTAAATGACAAATGGAATGTACACAGGTATTTCAAATTCAACATTTAGACAAGGAACGATTTGCATATATAGTCAAGTAGATTCAAAGCATTTTTTAAAAATGTTTCCTTCTATATATCATAAAAATGTAGCCTAAAGAAAAAACTATCATAATAACTTTAAATCACTCTTTATTGTTATTTATTTTCTGTCAAACGAATGTCCACATTGCTGACTAGTATCAATAACTAACTGCTCGTTTATCATGTTGTGAAGACAGATCCTGTTCATATCTTTCACAGAATCAAAACAGCTCGATTTTAGCATAAAATTAATCATGAATTTATGATCTTTCATTGTAAATATGGCTCAATTAGAATGAACCTAGAAAATCAACAGGAGAGTAAATGCGTTCTTATGCGCTGTCGTTCTTTTTAGCTAAATGCACAATTTTCAATCCATGAAACATCTTGATTGAAATGATGATGTAACAATGACTTTACGGCTCTCATTTTATTTATTTTACATGTGCATTTAATGAAATGAATCAGCTGGATGTTACATTTATCGTTCTCTATGATAAGCATCATATGCTATTTCATAATAGGCACATATTCAAGCTTTGTATGTTTGAAAAAGAAATAAGCCAATATGTGACAATAGAGACACAGATGGCTATAGTGTCAATCGGTTGTCCTTAGTCTCGGACACGTCCGCTGCTCTTTTTCTGACCTTGAAAATATCTTTTTTTCCTCTCCGATCAATATAAACGAACAGTTATAAGGTTGCATTCTTTTACAAGAGATGTTCGATCACAATTATAAGGTCAAATAATTCAAATCATTTGTTTTGCTATTCAATGACTCATCAAATGAAAACTAATACTTTCAAAATTTATTCTTTTTTTGTCTGCTAATTATGATACTCTATCCAACGGTCACGCGCACATATGCGAATGAAAGAAAGAAAAAAAATGAATAAAAGAATTTTGCTCTTGTCATCGAATACAATAAATGAGAATGTTGATGAACTCATACTATGGCTCACAAAAGAGGGAGGAGCGAACAAAGCGAAAAAGAGAGCGAGAGAGACAGAGAGAGAAATAAAATAGAGAGCAAATAATAGAATTCTGTTTTGTCATTTTTAATAGATAGATATATGACAAAACATATTGACTAAACAAGATGATTATTGATTAAGCACAATATTCAATATGCATTCAGCTCTCAGGTTTCATTTTATTTAAATAATAAAATATGATGAATAATATTTATTTACAATTTAGACCAAAGCCTTCAGTTAAATTACCTCCATCACTTATTCCGTCAACAATAGATCATCTGCCACAATCAGTACTAAAAAAATCTCCTATTAACCAAAATGATCATTATCAAAAACCTATAAAAAATGGCAATAGCCATCATCATCATCATACAACTGTGTCATTGAATAATACAATAATAGAAAAATCTAATTGGTCTTTAGGTTTAAGAAATTCTAAAGGAAAATATTTAACATCGGAAACATTTGGTTGTAAAATCAATGCAAGTACGTATCTTTAAAATACTTTCTTTAATATGATTCAAAAACTTTATTTTCAGCTGGCACATCTCTAAAACGAAAACAGATATGGATAATTATTTATAATTATCAAAATGATTGTGTTTATCTCCAATCACCATTAAATCATTATTTATCTACGGATAAATATGGTCATTTAAAATGTGATTCGAATGAAATAAATGATGACTGTCATTTTCAACTTGAATATAATCGAAATGGTCAATGGGCATTCAAATCTCTAACATATGGTATGTATTTCGGTGGAGATAATGATCAACTTCATTGTTTCAGTAAAACACCAGAATGGTGGTCACCCCATTTAGCTGTTCATCCACAAGTAAACTACTGTTTTTTGTCTTTTTCTTTCAATCATTTTTATCTTTTTATATTTTATTTAGATTAATTTAAAACATGTCCTTCGTAAAAGTTATGCTAAATTAGATGACGATGAAATTCATGTCGATGAAGTAATTCCATGGGGTAGTGATGCAATACTTGCTGTTGAATATCTTAATGATCATTACTGTATACGATCGAGCAATGGTTTTTATATTCATAAAGATGGAAAACTTACAACGAAACAAACTGATGAAACATTATTTACAATTGAACTTTATAAAGGATATTTAACATTTAAAGATTGTGATCAATGTTATTTAACAGCTATTGGTCCATTAGGAATACTAATGACAAGAAATAAAATAGCTGGCAAAGATGAACAATTTCTTTTAGAAGAAAGTAAATTACAAATATGTTTAGTTGCACCTAATGGAAAACTTGTTTCAACAAAACAAGGCATTGATTTATCAGCTAATCAATATGAACGTGATCATAGTAGTATATTTCAACTTGAATATGATGATGAGAATTTTCATGGTTATCATATACGAACATATGATAATAAATATTGGAAAATAGAAGGTCTTACTGTACAAGCAACAGCAGATAAAAGGTAAAATATTTCATTCATATAATGATGATCATCAGTTTTTGTTTTTAAAATCAAATTTAGATCCGTTGAAACAAGTTTTCAAATTGAGTCATCAGGTCATGGACATATAACATTTCAAGCATCGAATGGAAAATTTATTGTTCCACATGCTACTGGTCATATGCGTGTTGTAAATGATCAAATAAGTTCAAATGATGCTTATTTTTTAATAAAATTTATTAATCGTCCATTTTGTGTATTTAAATGTGATTTTGGTCATATTGGTTATCGAAATAAACAATCACGTATACTTGAATGTAATAAATCTTTATTTACATTATTTACCTTAGAAGAACCGGATGATCGAACACATAGTGAAGGAATTGTTTATCTTAAAGGTTTGCAAAATTAAACATTATCAATCAAATCAGCTTTTTTTTCTTATTGTTTCCCTTTTTACAATAGGATCTGATGGACTTTATTGGGAAATTTTAAATGATTTAAGTATCAGTGTTAATGGATGTGAACCATCGAAATTTGCATTAGAATTATGTTCGACACATTCTCGAGTTGTTATTAAAGCACCAAATGGAATGTATTTACGAGCAGAACAAAATGGAAGTATACAAGCAACATGTCATAGTAGTCGACAAGCAACACAATGGGAATTTTAAGAGAAGATTTTTGTTTTTGTTTATCTATTTTCAACGTGGTTAACTGTCTGTAGTGATTCTTAACTCTATAAATCGTTGTTGTTATGTGTATGTGAAAAGATAAATATATGATACAATTTATTTATGCGAGTATCATCATTCGGATTCAGAGATGAATTATTTACAATTTTTCTTTCATTTGATATTCCGCTTGTTTTTTTTTTGGCACTCAAATTATTAGTCGATTATCTGTTCAATATGCGCCTTTTTTCTGAATAGAATGGATATTATTCGACTGTGAAAATGATTTATAAGCGTAGTGGATTTAGCAAAAAAAATTGGTGTTGATATTTATGTTTTTTTTGTTTTTGTGGTGACGTTTTGTGAGAAAAAGAATATGACATTAAATTGAAGGTTTTAATTATATGCTTTAGTTGCAAGAGGTTTGAACTATAATAACACATATTGAGTGAAAATAAATAAATGATATTTGAATCGTTAAGTATTTGCTTTGAACATCTCTTATCTTTCGTGTTTAAAAAGAACAGATAATATTTTATAGTCCTACTCAATGATGTTTTATGAAGTATGAAAAATGAGTGTTTTTTTAATGATATTTTACAAAAACGGTCATCAATTGACTTTTCAATAAAATGACACATCACGCTTAGAATGGTTTGAGATTAATGGTAAATTGATTATCTTGTTTTTTTTTAAATTAAGTTCAATAATTCGTACTTATTCTAAAAAGAATAATGAATTATTGCTTTTCGATAAAAACTGATTGAGAATGTTGTATGATTACTTGAAAAGTACTTGTTCATCTGAAGTTGCATGAGAGTCTCAAGATTGGCGAGGTGTATAAGAAAATATCTCATAGAAGTAGTAAAAAAATTTAAAAATTTTAGTAGTTCTATTGAGTTATAACGAACAGCTTTCAATTATTGGCGAGAGTATACACCTTTCCCCCACTTTTGCAGCTTCTGTTGTTTACTTTTGCTTGCGATTCTTTTTTCTTTTTACAGGTTAGTCTAATCATCTTTTAGCAAGATTAGCATTATAAATATATACATATATATCATTCAAAAAAACAAAATGAAATCTATTTCTCATTATATCTGTAACAGTTAAGATAAAGATTTTCTATAGATCGTTGACCTTCCAGTAGCACATGTCAAATACGTTGGTTTTTATAATAAGCCATTAGCGAGCGTGTGGGTTAAGTAAGGCAATAAGAAAAATGATACTTTGTAGCTATGTAAATGATTAGTGAAACATGATATTGAGCGTCATTAAAAAAATGAGCGTAACTAAATAATTGAAGCTTTTTATTCTAAGATTATACTTGTGCCAAGAAAGAACTTATATTCTCAAATTAGCTCTGCGTATATGCACGTGTTTCACACACGTGATATAACTATTTGGTTAATTTTTTCATTGGCTCTTTTCATATGCCCTTGAATCAAGCATGTTCACAATTATTTTTCGCCTCTATTAATGGATCGACTTTGGACTCGGCGGCTTGATTTAATGGATAAAATCATGACTTCACAAAATTAATGAACTATTGCTTATATAACAGTTACATACGATGTTTACTATTTGAACATAATTATAAACAATTTTTGTGACATTATATATCGAACAAGTTTAGAAAAAGAATTGGAATTATTCTTTTTCCAAGAAATCAACAGTTTTGATAGAGATAATTTTATTCAAAGTATCTGTATGATCTTTTAAAGTTTAGTTTATCGTGACAATTTAAAAGTACAACTATAGGTTTTGAACTAAGTTACTTTTTTTTTTATACGAACAATAATATAGTGAACTTCAGTATAATGAATAAAATGAAGTTGAATTTTCGATCAAGTAACGTGTAGTAAATAAATGAGTAGTTAATTTTTTTAAAAACCGGTGACATCTTTCATCAAAATTTCATATCAATACGAGATTAGTCAGAAAGTCTCTTCTGTTCATTTCTATTTCGAATGTAGTATTCCACAATGCTATATTTAAAAAAATGAATTTGTTTTAATAAAATTTTAATTGCAAGATCAATTTTTTTTCTTATGTTAGATGACTATGACACTTGATTTATCATTATCGACTGTTAATAATTTCAATATTTCAATTAATTCAATAGGTAAACTACCTGAAGAAAGTTCTGTACTTGTTGTTGGTGCTGGTGGTATTGGATGTGAATTATTAAAATCTTTAGTTTTATGTCGTTTTCGATCTATTGGTGTTATTGATCTTGATACAATTGAAGTATCGAATTTAAATCGTCAATTTTTATTTCGTCGTGAGCATGTTAATCAATCAAAAGCTATTGTTGCATGTGATAGTATTCGTCGTCTTTGTCCATCTATTCACATCGAATCATTTCATGGTGATGTTATAACAGATTCACGTTTTGATATATCATTTTATAAACAATATGATCTTGTAATCAATGCATTAGATAATGTTCAAGCACGACAACATGTTAATCGTATGTGTTTATTATGTTCAAAACCTTTAATTGATAGTGGTTCAACTGGTTATAATGGTCAAGCAACTTTAATTTTTAAAGGTTATACACAATGTTATGATTGTATTGCAAAACCAAAACAACAACGAACATATGCTGTATGTACGATTCGTAATACACCTTCTCAACCAATACATTGTATTGTATGGGCTAAATTTCTTTATAATCAATTATTTGGTGATAATGATGATCCAAATAATGAAGATGTGACACCGGATACAGATGATCCAGAATATTTGACTGATAATCAAGAAACAATTACAAATGAACATCATCGTATACAACACGTGATTGGATTCATGCAGAAATAAAAGAATTTAATCCTATACGAATATTTAATAAATTATTTTTTGATGATATTAATTATTTAATAAAAATGAAAAATTTATGGGAAAAACGACGACAACCGACACCAATCGAATATGAAAAAGCATGTCAAATAATAAACAATAATCAAAATAGACAAAATGATTATGAACAATTAACAATACCGAAACTCAATGATCAATATGTTCAAACAATTTCTCAATATGTACAAATGTTTATTGATAGTTTAATTCAACTTAAACAACGATTAGATAAACAAAGACAAATAGGTTTGTTAGCAGAAAAAAGATCAAAAACTCTTTTCTCTTTTTCGTTTCATATACACTATATACTCTCTATAGTGAACATCTTTCAGGCTTTTTAAAAGTATCCACTACAAGGATGTTAGATCTTTTCTAAAAGTAAGGTTGTTTTTTTTTAACAAGGAACACATGTATTTCCTAGCTATCTGAAGGATATTAGTGAATACAATAATAAGTTACTACTCATTATTACTTCTATTATCATGCATTTTTCTACTTGAAGAATTAACCGTTGTTAAAATATAGTAAAATTTCTCTATTGTGGACACTATTGGAACTTTTTGAAAGTGTTTACTGTAGGACGATTCATTTCTAGCAAAAAATTGATAATTGAAACTTTGAAAAATGTTCACTATACGAAGTTGTCCACTATACAGGAATGTCTACTATGAAGATTTTACTGTAGATGAAAACTATCTATGTATCTTTTGTTTATTGTATTTTATAGCATCAACAAGTAAAGAACCAAAATTTCTTGTTTGGGATAAAAATGATGATATTGATCTTCAGTTTGTAACAGCATCAGCTAATTTACGTGCATATATATTTGGTATTAATCTCACAAGTAAATTTGATGTTAAATCAATGGCAGGTAATATCATTCCAGCCGTAGCCACAACAAATGCTATTGTTGCTGGTATAACAGTACTTCAAGCAAGAAAAATCCTTGCTAATTTACCACATTCATCAACTGATTATAGATTAACATCAATAAAAGAACTTACAAATGTATTTGTATCGACTGATCGTAAAACAGGAGCAATTATTCAGCCAATACTATTGGAAAAACCAAATCCTGAATGTTATCAATGTAATAATCATGAACAATTTGTACGTGTTAAAGTAAATATGTCATTATTTACATTACATTCATTATATGAACATTTAATTAGAAAACATTTAAAAATGAATAAACCTGATGTTTATATTAATGATGGTAGTAATCGAATTTTAATTTCAGCTGATGATGAAGATAATGAAAATAATGATGAAAAAATGTCAAAAACATTAGATCAATTTAAATTAATTCATGGAACAATTCTATTATGTGATGAAGAATCAGATAGCATTAATGAAATTTCAAATACAGAATCTATACAAAATATGAAAATCAAATTAATGCTTGAACATACAAATACAATAACAAATAAAGATGAATATATTATTATTGATGATCAAATTAATAAAGAAATAAAACAAACATTAAAACGAAAATTATCAGATAATGATGATGATGATGTTGAACATTTAGATGACTATCAAAATGAATTAAATATTGTTAAAAAGACAAAACAATTATCAACAGTTTCTCATGAAAATGATAGAGATCATATACATATTAGTCGTGCTATGTTTGACAACGATCCTATGCTCGTGCATACAAATGGATATCATCAGAATACGTCTGACACAAATCTTAAAATTACTTTAAAAAAAAATAAATTAAATAATGATGGTAAATTTTCGTTTTCATAGATGTCTCTTACACAAAAACTATCTAACAAGTCATCATGAAATGTCGATTTGAATTTTTTTAAAATACATATTATCATATCTAACATATTATAAAAATTTTAAAGAAAACACATTACCGATTACTGAGTAACAGTATAACGAATAATTTGTGGATTTCATTCTTTCGTCGAAAATAGTCATTGAAGAAAAATTAAGATTTTTTATAAAGTTTGATTAAAGATTTACGGTACTGAGGAAACTTTATCAAGAAATCAAGTATATAATTTTGAGAAATTGATTGTAGAATCGAATTCTTGGACTCTGAAAACTTTCGATCAAACTTTATAAAAAAAAAAATCGTGATTTTGCTACAATAGTTACTTTTGACGAAAGAATCAAATTAATGAATTTTTCGTTAACCCATTCCTCAGTAATTTTCTANCGTCTGACACAAATCTTAAAATTACTTTAAAAAAAAATAAATTAAATAATGATGGTAAATTTTCGTTTTCATAGATGTCTCTTACACAAAAACTATCTAACAAGTCATCATGAAATGTCGATTTGAATTTTTTTAAAATACATATTATCATATCTAACATATTATAAAAATTTTAAAGAAAACACATTACCGGTTACTGAGTAACAGTATAACGAATAATTTGTGGATTTCATTCTTTCGTCGAAAATAGTCATTGAAGGAAAATTAAGATTTTTTATAAAGTTTGATTAAAGATTTACGGTACTGAGGAAACTTTATCAAGAAATCAAGTATATAATTTCGAGAAATTGATTGTAGAATCGAATTCTTGGACTCTGAAAACTTTCGATCAAACTTCATAAAAAAAAAAAAATCGTGATTTTGCTACAATAGTTACTTTTGACGAAAGAATCAAATTTATGAATTTTTCGTTAACCCATTCCTCAGTAATTTTCTATCCCTAAGAAATGTTACTTGAATGAAAAATTTGCTTCGAAAAAGATTTAGTTTTAAGGAAAAAAAAGTTAGTGTACAGATCTTGCGAGTGAAATATGATTTTTTTGGAATATTCTAGAAATCGTGAAACTGAATTATGGTTAAATTCATTTTAAATCTAATATCACGGCTAATAAAATTCTCATTCTTAATCAAGTTGTAATTTATCAAATGATATTTTTCTTTTACTTTTATCGTTTTAGTTTCTGATGATAGTAACAATGACGTAATATCAGATGACGTTGCCATGAAGAACACCAATTCCAAAACAATAAATAGTACAGAACCAATTTCAAATGTTATCAATGATGATTGTTGCTCTATAGATATTTCTGATTTATGAGATCTTATTTTTGTATTTCTCTTTGTCTGTGAAATGTCCAAATATTTTGTTATAAAATTTTGCTGTTACTATTTTTTCTTTTTACTACTAAAATATTCTAGGTGTTTTTTTATTCTTTAAAAAAAAATATAAGATTCATTCATATACTCACGCATGAATAAAATAATACAGAAAAAAAAGTCATAATTTTTATTCAATATACTAATTTATGTGTAAACTTCACGGCGTGTTACATTAACAGATAATGAGTGTAAATCATCAAGTGACATAACTTTTGATTGAAGAGCCATTAATGTTGCATATTCTCGTGCTATATAAATATTAAATGGTTCTTTTTCATAACCGTCATACGCTTTTTCACGAAACATTCTTTCCGAAAATAAACTTGTTGAATGTGCATAACATTTTAAATGATATATAGATGTTCGATATGTAGTTTTTTTTGAATCACATGATATATCAACTTGACCTTCAATAAATAAAAATTTTGTTTTTAATTTTTCTATTGTGGTTGGAAAATCAATTAATAAATTGCTTTGATTTCCATTCGATTCTTTCAATGTATATAGAACAGTATGAACAAATGGAATAATTTGATCTGTTTTACTATAGAATGTTGAATAATCAGGTGATGTACCAATAAGAAATGAACATTTTATTGGAATATATTTTCCAAATTGTGTTGTTAAAAATGTATTCATAGTTGTTATCATTAGAAAATCATACATAGCTGTTTGAGTTTTATTTAACAGACTTGTATAATCATAAATAGCAAATAAACGATCTATGTTATCATTAAGTTCATTGACACGATTAAATATCGGATATTTATCAATATAGAATTGATGCTGAGATTTTGATTGTTGTGATAATAATTTATGATTAACAAGTATACATCGTGATATTTGTCGACGAGATACTCGTCGATTTTCTATATGACAATCTAAATGTTCTAATAATTTTCGTATTGTATTTGGAAATTTATCATCAATAAGTATAATTATATCTGTACGCCAACGATCAAGTGTAAACATTTCTGATTCAATCCAACTTCGATAAAACCAACGAAATTGTACAAAATAATAATCAGAATTTATTGATGGAAAACGAACAATAACACCACGAATTATTGTTCGTGAACGATATTGTTCGATAGTTACTAAATTTTCACGACATTTTATCGATGGTTCAGTTAATTGCCGATTAAGTTCAGCTGGTATAAAAACAGTTGTTGGTTTGTCTTTAACCCAATTTCGTGGTAAAAAACGTATACGACTAAATCGTTTATGTGAACGATAAGAAATATTATCCGAAGATTCATATGATGGAGCCAAAATATGAAGAATAAAAACAAAAAAAACGAGTATTACAGCTATAGAGAATAATAACGAAGAGACAGTTTTAAAACGAAACATTTTAAGAAACATAAGAATAAAATAAAAGTTGTAATCGAAATAAAATTTTCTTCTTTCTGTTTCTTTTTTTGTATGCATGAATGTTTACCGATTTCTTTCCATTACATAAACAGAACATTAAAGAAAAAAAAAAGATCGACTGATTTTTAAGTCATATATGACTGGCATCGTTCTGTTACCTGATGTATGTTAAGTTCTTGCCGGAAAACATTTTGTTCTTTGTAAAGAATTTAAAATGAACACATTTATTGTTCAAATTCTAAAACGTAGAAAAAAATTATCAATAAAGATTAGAATAAACCTTAACAGTTTTATTGTAATTGACTGTACTTTTGAAGTATTAAATTATACTGATGAAAAATGAACTCGTTGCAAGTTAATTTACGTCTCAGCATCTAATAATTTATATCGTAAGATCCAATTATAACATAGGAATTGGAGATGTGAAAGGAAATATAATGATGATCAATATTTTTTTATATTTTCTCTATAACGTATCATATCTCTGTGAGTTGGATCATTAGATTGTTCCATATAGATTGAAAAATAGAATACATTTTCTTTTTCATATGATAAGTTGTAAAATATTTCATCGGGAATTCTTTCTTTCTTTCTTTAGAAAAGCTTTCATTAGTAAAAGATTAGTTAACGAAAGCATCTTCTCTTTTTTTTTACTTCTCCGGATAGCAGTAATTTCCGGTATAAGCAATATTTTGCCCATGCAATGCATCTCATATTTCAGCATTACTCATATTCTTTTGCTTTTTTTTCACCCTTCATGCATGTATGTTTGTTTCTTAGAGTGAACGTCATTTTTACTACAGAGAAAAGTTTCTTTTGTAATTGAAAAAAAAAAGAATTCATATATTACTATGACAACAGATGCAATGAGTTATTATCAAATGTGATGAGACGTAAATGTATAATGTTTTTCTTTTGACAGTGGTAAAAGCTGAAATCATTTTATAACTAAAATAGATGAGCCAACCTGACGTTGATCATTCAACCTGAGTTTATTAAGTTTGTTAATGCATAAGTAAGCAAAAATCGGTTTTAATTTATAATCTTTTTTTCTACTAATATTGGCTTGCTCTGTCCAGTCTTTGTCTCAAAATAGACTAACAAAGGACTAGTCTGAATTCCTATCCATCATGAGTACCCGTCCTAAAAATATTGTTAACAATCGTTATACAATATGATAAGAGTAGTTCATTAGTCAAGAGTAATCCGTTCATGACTATATGCAGGTAAATCAAGACGAAATTGCATTCTTGATGTTCGAACTAATTCTCTTTGAAACAATGACTGGACATGTCGTGTCAGTGTGATGGAGGTCCGAAAAAAATTTGAAATCGAAAACGTAAGAACGTCACTATTGGTAGACATAATATAGGGATGATGGTTAGATTCGAATATGCGCAAAATATGTCACTTACCTAGCGTCTGGATAAATAAGCCATATGATCAAGAGATCAACTTCTGCATATTCATTGTCATTCTAAGATGCTATTTGATACAATTGAAAGTTCTTTGAAGTTTTCATATGAATAAAAAATCGCCTATTATAGGATATAAAATTATTTAAATGACATTGTACAAAATAAATTGTTTAAAAAGCTGCAAGTCTTTGGGAGAAACTTCTTCTCATTATTATTAACTAGGCGTAGTTATTAACATTAACAAAAAATTTTTAAATGCAAAATTAAAGTAAAAATTATTTAAATTGACACGAAATTATTTTAATTTTTCATTTCATAATTTAGTTTAAGCTTAAATTTAGACAATGCGTTTTAAATTTATTACCAAAGTAAATTTGTTCTATTTGAATACGTTCTTAAGTTCAAATCATTAAATTTTACGTTTTAGAAAAAAACAAAATAAAATTATGATAAAAAATACTTTAAATATACAGGTGGAACAAGTACGCTCGTCAATAATTGTTAATTATAGTATTTTGGTATATTACTTGACTCTGTTTTGCTTATAAAGAAATATGATCGTTTATGGACGTAAACATGGTCGTTTTACTAAGCTCGTTTACAACCTCCATGTTTTCTCGCAAAAGGTCGTATGCCTTCGTGTATAATTTGAAGACATTATCGTAATATAGAACCATGTAATAGGCCGAAATATCATAGTATACGATCATTTTCGAATATATACAAGTTTCATATACTTTGTCCTGAGTATTTTCAAAATGAATTCTATTTAATTTACTTTACACATTTAATAAATTTTAAAATACACTAATTGGCACTTTACACTAGAAGACGAACATTATGGATTG